TTAAATGACAAGCTAACAGTCGCTTGTAGAATATTGATTATTTTGTTGAGCCGGTATATATAGTAACGAAAAGTGCATCATCTACCAGAAACCGCTGCGTGATTGCGTTATCTACTTGCGCCCCCGAACTGGACGGTTCCTGATTATTCACGAGTCGCGTAGAAGTATAACGCAAGTTCCGGATAGGACAAGGCGGGCGTCAGCCACGTATAAATTCGCTGCTACCGGCGGACGCTAGCAGTTTGAAGTGTGAAGTGAAATTTAAGTTGTGAAGTGTGCGTAGCGGTGAACAGCGGTTGAGTCGGTCAACAGCTCATGAGGACCTGCGCCGTGAACTGTGGCCAGCGCTGTGGTCAATGCATTGATCAGTGGTAGGTACATCGGATTGCGATAGTGTAGAAGAAGTGAATAATGTAAATAAATAGTCAGAAGAAGTGAACAGTGCAAATAAGTAGTCAAGAGAAGTGAATCGTGTGTAAGGAGATAATCAAGTGAAGAACACAAGAACTGCACAACCTATCTGTACATAAATCAAGTATTTTTAGTGTATCATTAAGAAACAAAATAAACGTCTTTGTTAAAATATTATTTGTGTTGTAATTCACCGCAAGAAGCGTCAGAATTGGGTCAGGTGTGGGGTTCAAATTAGTATAACGTGTGGTGAATTAAAAGCTTAATCAAGATGAGTTTCACAAAAGACTTACGGGATCTGAAAGTTAACTTCTTGAAGGACTTTGAAAAGAGGGAACAAGAGACCACCGCAACGAAAGCAATATTACAAGAACGTCGTGCTAACGCGATGAAGGCAGCAGGAGAGGATCCAGAGAGTTTTGTCTTCGAGACGACCGGAAACCTTTCGAATCTATCAAAAGTATTAAGAGATGAATTGTCACAAACAATGAAAAAAGTTAGACGACAATTCTAGAAAATTAGAAGAAAAATTAACTGAAACTTCCAGAAATTAGAAGAACTGAGTGAAAATTACCAAACTTTAGAAGAAAAATTGTCAGGAAGTTGTAGAATTTTAGAGGAAAAACTGGAAGAAAATTCCAGAATATTGGAAGGAAAGTTATTAGATAACCAGCCACAAAAGGTAACACAGAACAATACATTGGTTAGAGAAGAAATCGAGAAGATAATTTTGAAGAGCGAAGAAAAAATAGAGGAGAAAATTTCAAAGAACAAAGAGAAAATTGAAGAGAAATTTCTTAAGAGTGAGGAAAAATTACTGTATCTATTAGAAGAAAAGCTGACGATTTTTGATCTCCCAACAAAAAAAAATAACCACGCACAGAAACCACAGGGAATGGCACAAGTGGCCACAGTACGGGACCCTCTGGGAAAGGCACCAGTGAAACCACCTACCTTTGATGGCACTTTTTCGTGTCCAAATTTTTTGAAACAATTCAAGGCTGCTGCAACAGCAAATGGCTGGTACGCGATAGATTGTGCCACTGCACTGATTGTATCATTGCGTGGTAACGCCGTTGACGTCCTGGAGACAATATCGATTGAAGAACAGGCGAACGTCGAGCAAATTGTCAAGAGATTCGAAACACGTTATGGGCAAACACATCTAGAAGACGTGTATTTGACCCTGCCCAAGATATAATTGTTGTCGGAAAATCTTTCGATGGCCACATCAAGAACTTAGAACAATAGTTCAAGTGGCTGGAAGGAGCGAACTTTAATCTCAGCGCTAAAAAGTGCCAATTATTTCGCAAGAAAGTGAAATATCGTGGACATGTAGTGTCTGGTACGGGAGTAGAAACTGATCAGGAGAAGGTTAAAGCTGTAAAGGAATGGCCAGTACCAAAATATAAACTGGAATTGAGAAGTTTCCTGAGTCTATGTACTTATTTTCGTCGATATGTTTGGGGGTTTGCCGACATCGCCAAACCGCTGACCCAGCTGACTGAAGACAAACGGTTGTTTCAATGGGTTCAAGATTGCCAGTGCGCTTTCGAATATCTTAAAAGCGTCATGCTAAACGCCCGTATATTGAGCTATCCATTACTTCAAGGACATTATATTCTTGATACTGTCGCAAGTAATGTTGGCATTGGAAGATTAAGAGGGTCATTGTTTATTACAGTAAAGTACTTTCAAAACTAGAACACAACTATTGTGTAACCCGAAAAGAACTACTTGCTGTGGTGATATCCGTTGAGCATTTCTACTAGTATCTCTACGGCAGAGAATTTATTTTGAGGAGAGATCACTTCTTTGAAATGGATTCTGAACTGCAAGAACGCAGGAGGGAAAGTCACCAGATGGATTGTAAGATTTCAAGAATTCACATTACAATAGAACATCGGAGCGGAAGTAGTCACTGGAATGCCGATGCTCTCTCCAGAAGACCGTGTCCTGAAAGCTGCAAAAACTCTGTCATGCGAGAGATAAGTTGATGTCTCCTACCTTAAGGGTCACTGTGATTAACGACCGATGGCAACCCAAAGAACTTCAGAAAGATGAGAAAGAACGCAGAATTGAAACATGTGTGGAAATGGAAAATGACGGGACGAAGACCGAGTTGACAAGAAATAGTTCCTCAGCAGTAAAATCGTACTGAACGCAGTGAGACTCAATCGCTGAGGAAGAAGGTTTCTTAAACGAATTGTGAAAAATGAAGATGTCTCTCAGAAGAGGATGCAGGTATTATTACTAAGAAAAAGGATACCTAAAAAAATTGAAGGAACTGCATGATGAAACCTCGGGTGTTCATCTCGGTATAACGAAAGCGCTAGAGAAAGTGCGCGAACGATTTTACTGGCTTAATTCCAAGCAAGACGTAAAGATGTGGTGCACGAAGTGCCAAGTTTGAGCAACTAGTAATGGATCTCATAGAACGAAAAGAGCGAAAATGAGACAATACAACGTTGGAAGTCCTTTTGAAAGAATTGCCATTGTTCTAGCTGGCCCATTTCCAATGTCAAATAACGAAGGAAACACCGCAAGTGTTTGTGAGCTGGACATGAAAGAGTTCACTTTGACGAGTTTATGTCTCATCATGGCGGAAATGATACAGCGCGTTATGGGGTGACAATGGAAGTGCATCAGGATCTGTTTACGGTAACCCAGGAATATTGATTAGCGCATTGTGTCGTCCTGGATCTAGGGCGTTCCTGCTGTATTCAAGGGCAAATACAGGAGAATAGAAGAATTAGAGAACCAGCAACTGGAAATTGGGTAGGTCCAGCAACTGCGCAACGTGAGTAGATATGTGTATTATCTCATCACAAAAAGGAAGTCGCATCAAAAAGTAAGGCCTTCTATCAGAATCACTGGGAAACTCTGAATTACACCAAGTACTGCAAGACAACGTCCAAAAGATTGCCATGCCCAAACTGGCATGTAGTTTTGATGGACTGGACTGGAGAGTAGTGAGAAGCATGTTGGAAGTACTCTTCCAGTACACTGGGGTGAATATCTTAGTCTGCAGCTACCTCCAGGGTCGGTCAGCATATCCAAAGAAGACAATAGACTGTCACTTCTTGACCACCAACTACAATAGAGGCTCCAGATGCAAATATCTGCATGATTTCACTAAACGCGCTCCGGGATGGATCTGCCTGTAGAGAAGTGTGGGTGATGGGACGGGGGCTAAGAAATCTCTCAAAAACAGTATCTTGATGTTAAATATATAGTGTAAGTAGCCATAAGCCATTTGGTTTAGGGAAACGTATTACCATCTTAAGCGGTAGAAACCCCCAACCCCCAATAAAAGATCCAAAATCCCGCATCTGCTACAGAACATCGAGAGTAATGTCAATTCTTAGCTCATGAAAGTGTGGAATTTTTATTTTGAATAACTAGAAGAATTATAAATAACGAAAACCATTGTATGTAACACGCCCTGTATTATTAATTTAGATGACTTGTTGCATAAATAACTATTGTTTAAATAAGCGTTGCGTCAAGGAAGGTGAAATTTATTCAAAGGGCCCATTAAATTTATTTTACTGGTATTGGTAGTGATTCACTGGCGGGTCCAGGGGGGTGCCTTGGGGGTCATGCCCCTTCCCCCAAAAGATCCAGAGTTTTCCTTTACCTTCCTTTATTTGGGAAAATTGATTTAAATTATTATATATGTTCGAATTATGTAATTATTTAAACAATAATATTGCATAGTATCATATCTATGGGACATAAATAATATACAATATAATAACAAATATGTTTATTATTTAACAAAAGTTTACGATGCTTCCTCTCCCCCATTGTGAGCTGGGTCCACCCCCTGCTCTGATCTATACACAAAGGTGGAGTGCCGCTCCTCTATTTCTTTTATTTTCAATTATTGAAATAGATTTGGCTGGTCGCCGGTTTTGATCTGTGATGTTAATGTTTCCATAACCGTGCAATTCATACGATAATACCATAAAAGAACTTTGTTCCACGTTAATACTGTTTACTTAACAGTCATGAAGTCTGTAAGACATGACTGTGTCAGTGGTAAGTACATTTTATTTTATTTATTTATTTTGTCCTGAGATGTTACTACCTTACTAACAATGGTCACACTCATGACGTAATCCAGCTGAGTCCTCAGTGATTCACGCTCTGGTTAAATCGACTGAAGACATTTTCGCCATTCAGGAGAGAGAATTCATAATTTAGGAATTAAAATGATATGATTTGACTGTTTCTGTATTCTGAACAGTGATGATTACGGTAATTACATGATTTGTCTTCTAACGTCTGTTGAAGTGTGTTGCATTTTCCTTGGATCATCCAAGTTTACTGTTTTGATTAGCATTTGACAACAGCAAGTGAATCAGCTGATTCTTGCCCCTGGTATATCATGTGAAGCTCACATGTTATCGTATGATTTTTAAAAACATACTTGCTATTTTTAATTACATCCGTGTTGGAAACATTTATACAGTCACCGACCATACTGATATTCTGAATTGATTCTGGATTGAATTTTTATGTTACCATGGCGCTATCTTTTAGTGAATGGAGATACCAAGTAGGGCGAGGTGAGGGGCGGTCAAGGAACAGGCGACGAAACAATCGGAGCGAGTATTATCAAAGCTACGTTTCCGATGTGAGGGGAGGGTGATGGTGTGTATGTGGAAATATGAACGTGTGACAAGTTATTATAATTAATATGAAAGCTGGGTTTGAATTTACGCATTAATAACAGAGAGCAATCTGTGGTCAGCATACTTGTTAGATTGCTGTTGGTGATAGTTCGTGATAGCCACGTCGTGACATGCGAAGAGACTTGTAAAAGCAGTTCGATGAACGTACTCCAGCAGACATAAAATGTGCAAGACGAAGTGACAGTAATAATTCACTTAAATGACCTGTGCGTTGTGCTAATCAAATTCACAGAATTATTGTATAAGAGTTATGGATTTTCTTTTGCCTCTTGTAATGAAACGTCATGCTTCTAAATATGAAGTTCTGGAAGTCGAGCATTACAGTATGATGTCCTATATTCACCCTCGACTGTGAAAGAGATAATGTTTGGAATTCATCAATAGCAGAAGGGACATTCATTTTTGTTTTGTTCGTTTCTACGGACTCGCGTGAATCGACGAAAGAGATGGACAGCTCCGAATACGAATTGGTTAGAAATATGACATTACTTTTCTTCTTCGAGAAGTTAATGGACAAGGGAGGTCCTCGTACTCTTCATGACCTCAGTTGCCAGTTTGGAGCGAAAGGGTTTACGAAAGAAATGCGTCAAATTGCCGGAGGTTCGCAGTCCGGCCTCAAAAAGTTCCTCGCCCAGTATCCTGCCCTTTTCTCCATTGATGGTGACCATGTGTATGTCAATTCATTTACTAGTGTAAATAATGAAAATGATTACAAAGGAGGAATAAAATATGTTAGTGGTAAACGAGATTATGCTCAAGAGGCAGTGCAATATTTTTGTAATAAATTGATGCAGTATGGTGTTGGAACTGAAGTTCCAATTAAGAGCCTGCTTGGCCATCGATCTCAGGCTTCTCCAGAAGTGAGGCATATCTCTGGACAGCATGCCAGAGAGTTCAGAGATTTTTTGTGTAGATATCCAGAAGCGTTTGTGGTAAAAGATGATTGTGTTATTTTGAAAGAATATGAGGATAAAGAACCTCAACCTTTTTGTGAATTGGAGCAAATAAAAGTGGATCCTGAGGTGACTTCAAGTTTGTTAAGTTTTTTTACTCAATGTATTGAAGTGAAAGGTCCTATGCTAGTAGATCAGCTCTTCCACAATGTTGCTTCTCGATTTCCAAACGAAGAGTGGTCTTGCATCTTCAAAACACCTCAAGATCTTTCAACATTTTTGAAAATGCATTCTGATGCTTTTCATGTGCAGTCTAATCTTGTGACCTTAGTATCTCCAAGAAGTTCTTCTCTGTGTGCAGATTCATCTGTGAATGTCAATCAGATAAGTGAAGATGTTTCTCAGAGGCATAATAAAATTGGTTCAGGGATTGTGAACAGTCAATCTTCACAAATCTCTACTACAATTCCGTTAACAACTCCAGTAAATAATAATCAATGCAGCAACAGTAGTCAGACAGGCTTACAGTCTAATGTAAATATTCAGAATCAAAGCCTGAAGCAACGTGTTAATTCCGTAGTTATGAAAACTCTGGCCGACAATACTGAGAAAGATAGAAGTTATGCTGCTACAACTTTAAGTGGTGAAGGTGTTGCGGCTGGTGGTGAAAATAGGAAGATTAAAGTGCTTCAATCTACACGTGTCATTGCAAGTGTGAAAGAATCATTGCAAATTGTAGACAAAATATTGTGTCGTGCCAAATCTGGGAAAAAAGTTGCTATTTCATTTGATTGTGAAGGAGTTAATTTGGGAGTGAAAGGTCAACTTACATTATTTCAGATAGGAACATGTAGTGGACAAGCTTACATTTTTGATCTAGTTACCTGCCCCAAACTTGTGAAAGCTGGTGGTTTACAGTGCCTTTTGGAATCTGAAGACGTAACTAAGGTTAGCATTAACTTTGTACAATTGCATATAATAAAATACTACTTTCTATTATAATACTAATATTTTCAGTTAAACAAATTTTATCAAAGCTGGGGACTTGAGATGTGCATCTAAGTGTTAATATTTCATAATATCTCATGAACATGTTTCACTTCACACACATTTCACTGTTTGATATAAAAGTATGTGTAGCAATAATGTTACAATATAAAATGTGTAATGTAACAATATATTCATTTTTTGCATGATTTATAATATTGTTGTGGTTTTCAGGTCATTCACGATTGTCGAAATGATAGTGTAAATTTATACAATCAATATGGGATTACTTTACGAAATATCTTTGATACGCAGGTAAGAATAACATTTAATTTCTAATTTTGATATTGTTTGTTAGTTTCAACTGTTATTTGATGTGTTTTCAGGCAGCACATGCAATTCTTCAACTCCAAGAACTTGGAAAACCAGTGCATAAAGTAAAAAATGTCAGTTTGAATGCACTCTGCGAGTTATATGATGCTCCTATTAATCCAATGAAGGACCAATTAAAAAATGTGTATAGACGTGATCAAAGATACTGGGCACGTCGTCCGTTGTCTAGGGATATGATGATTTATGCTGCTGCTGATGTTTTGTCTCTTGTCCCTCAAGTATATGAAGCTATGGTCAAGTGAGTATGCTTCTATGGGCAAAATGGAGTCAGTTAATAAGTATTCTAATCTTATAATGTCCTTGTTAATGGCATAAAATTGTTTTATTTACTTCTGTATTTTTTTACAGTTATTGAATTACCTTGTATGTAATTGCATGTTAATTGTTTTAAAAAAGAAAATTAATAAATTGTGAATAGAGAATATCTAAAACTAAATAGTGGTCATAATGCTTGTTTGTTTCTGTTTACAAGTGAATTAAAATTGTGTTTAGTATTGAAGATGGAAAAAGAGAAATGAATTAAATAAATATATATTTTCATATTACTTAAAAGTAATAATACCAGTCTTGTAATAAATGATTGTGGCGATTAATATTGACATCATCTTGATGTACTTTAATGGAAACAATTATGTTCTTCCAATTTGAGACCTAGGTCCTTTTTATTAATGGGGAGTATTTGCACTAAATTAAGAAAGTACTATTATTAGTAAAAAAATATAAATTCTGTAAATAGATTTTCAGAAATAAATTTGTAAGTTCTTAAGCAATAATTGGAAGATGTATAATTAATGTTAAAAAGAACACTCTTTACACAAGAACATACTGTAATTAATGTGATTTGGAGTTTTTTAATACGTTATTTATAGAGGTATTTTTTTGCTATACATCATAATTGCTGTCGGTAGTAGATTTTGCTTAAATATGAAGTCCATAGAAAAATTTCAAGTTTAGTGAATGTATGACATTGATAGTAACTTTCCTTTTGTGATCTATCTGGTAATGAGACAAACAATGTTCACTACTAATTATAAAATTATCATTAATTCTATGAAACTGTTTGAAATTATTTTCCAGCTATTGTTAAACAGTTTAAAATGTCATTGTATTGAAAAAGATTAAATTCTTGTTTCCTGTTTCTATGGTGGCAAGGTGGAAGAAGAAGTTTGAAGGTCTAGACTTTGCCGTGCCAAAAAATATTCATTTATTTTATGATGCCTAAAAATGAAACAGACACATAATCAACAAATGTTTAGTACTAAATTCAAATCAAAGAAACTGAAATGGATTACATTTGTAATTTATTATATTTAATGATTCATGTGGAAGTATAGAAAAATTCATAGGTATTGTGGATATTCTTTAAAGCAAAATTGGTTATGGAGCATTTTATAAAATCATGGTCAAAATCTTTTGGCAATGTTTTTTATTTTCCCTTGTAATTACAATTACTAGCCTTATCTACAAATAATTTTTACTCTTTGTTTTCAAAATGCTAAATACAATTTCCATTTTGCGTTGTTTGACTTATTATAGGTTTCAATGGCCGGTTTGATAATATTGTATTTTGCCCATATTATTTTATTTAGATCCTTAAGAAAGCCTTACTGTCTCTGTAACTTTGCAAGCATTGTAACAGAATCTTCTCTTAAATTTATCTTTAACTTGTTAGTTGCTTCAGGACTGACAATGTGGTAATTTATTGTATGGTTTGGTCACTTTCAAGTGAGGGGAGTAATTAATACCAGGGAGAATTAGGTAGCAAGTAATGTCTTTTTTCTTATTGTCACAATAAAAATGTGTAGAGGAAGAAATGCAATTGTTAATGTTAGATCCCTGAAAGAAAAAGACCACTAAAAGACCAAGCTACATGCTGTTGTGGCCATAAAATTTTATATTTCGTCAAAGATAAAAATGAGCAAGAGATATCTAAATGCTATTGAACATGAAATGTGAAAAATGTATCAAAATAATTACAAAATATTTTTGTTTTTTAATTTATTTTGACTTTTTAACATCTAAATCATTAGTGACTAGCAACTTAAACATTATTTATTTCATAGACTAAACATGTCTACTTTTTAAAATGTAGTGCTGCTTGGTTTACATTTTGTGTGTCTTGAAAAATTTATTCATTGGTTTACTAAATTGAATGATTTTGTTTGATAAGATGGTATCCTTAGAATTGTGTTGAAGTGTTTCTCCTACAAGTATATTCTCTTTTGATATAATTTGGAACATTTGTTGTAGTTATGATGTACTGTTAGCAGAAAATTATATAGATCACATCTAGATTGAGGATTTTTACGTATTAACTGGAGATGAGTACATTTGGTGTTGTCATTTATTAATCTGGATATTACTGTTCTAACAAATTCAGTTTTTTATTAGTTTTAATACAAACAAAATTTGGAGTAGTTTTGCGTAGTCTGGTAGCGGATTTGTTCTATCTGCAATTAAGATTTTTTGTTCATGACTTTCCATGTATCATCAAATCTGTTTCTGTTGGGTGACTTAGGTAAAAATTTGTGGCTGCAATTTTTGCTTCTGGATCAATTATATCATTTCCAAAGATATTTTTGTGCCCTAGTACTCAAGCCAAGAAGACGTTTTAACCTTATTTTGTGATGTTGAATGCCACTTATTAGATATTTCAATTTTAATTCTTTTATACCAATTGATCACTTTCCTCCAGTTTGTAATTATAATCAATGAGATATCTGTAAGGTTAATTTTGGGCAAGGTTTATATTAATGTTGGTATTTTAATACTTGTTTTGGATGACTTTTCTTCTTACTATTTTGGATTATTAAATTATTATTATTACTATACATTTTGATTATTATTATTATTATTATTATTATTATTATTATTATTATTATTATTATAAGTTTTTTTGTTTTTTCTTCAGCCTTATAAGACCAGAATATGAATCTTTACTGCACGAGTTGTTTGAAGAACAAATTTTCATGCACATACGACCTAATGACGTCAAACAACGAAAGAAGCAGAGAAAAGTAGAAATTGAAGTTGCAGATTTAAGGCAAAAACTTGCAAATGTACAGAGTAAAAGTATAGTTTTGAGCAATCGAGAGATAAGACTTCTAAGGTATGTTATTGAATTATTTTTCTAATAATTTTGTAACTGTTATGAAATTATGTAATGGTACTTTGTGTTCTAGATATCTAGATTTAACTGAAGAGGAAAAAGAAAAATTGAAAGGATCACACAAAGTTGCCAGAAAACTTGAAAAGTTGGAAAATGCTGGACAGGATAGGTATTAAAATGTCTTGTAGTATTACAGTGTTCAAGCACTGTACGTCAATCGTGTTCTGTAAAATCAAACTTTTTTTTTTCCTTAGAGATGCAAAGAGCGATGATGATGAGGATGATGATGATGATGATGAAGGATGCAATGGGGAAGAGTATCCCAGCTTGGACAGTTTTAATAGTGGTAAAACATCTCCTTCTGAAAATTCCTTGTCAGGTAATTTTCATTGTTTTATTTGCATAAAGATTTCAGTTTTATAATACAAGGATTCATCCTTAGGACTTCGTTATTAATAGTTCTTGTAGGAAGTAATATTACTCATGTAGATTTAAATTAACAATATCTCTTCAGTTTCTTTTTATGAATTTGGTGATGTAAAGAACCATATCTCCTTTCTCTTCTATCATGAATTTAATTATTTTCAACCACCAAAGTTCTTATATTTATTTTTACTTACCACCCTTTATGTTGTTTTTCCTTATATATTAAAATGAAATAACAAATTGATATCAATGTCTGAGTGTTTATTAGAATGTATTTTAAATATCTATAACAGTGCAAGTCGTTTTGCTGTTATAGCAACATGAATAGGTTAATTACAACATGGGAGTACATATAAAACAATACAAATCCAATGTAAACTTAATTGCCACAGAATTTGAGATCTTTGATGACAGAAGAAATTAAATTATCTTCTGCTGTTCATTATAATTAATTATCAATCTGGGAGTTTGATTTCATCCCATCATTTTTGACAAGTTATCTCTAATCGAATATATAAAAATCATTTTTTGTTTGTTCATATTTTATGCGCTGCCATACCATTCACCCAATTGCGATAAAACTTTGCCAGCTTATTGTTGCACATGCGCAAATAATGTAGGTATAGTAAGTGGGAATGTGCATGTCTGTTGCACATAGATGCAAAATTGGGTCATTGTTGATGATTTTATGTGTTTATATTGACTCAAGTGCCCCTGAACAGAAGCTCTACACAACCCGCCTCACATTCGTGTATTAAGTGCATATTCTGCCTCTGCAGGATTGTGAAAAATCATCCAGAATTATTACTTTAACATTATCTTGGACAAGAAAATCAAATTTCTCCAAGACAGTGTCATAGTAATGCATGCCCAAACTTGAGTGAGAATGTTTCAACAATAGCATTCTTGACAACCATGTCCAAACCAGGACATAGAACAAAACCGTACGCATGAGAAAGTCTTTCATCTATTAAACTTTTTACAGAGCGTAGTGTAAAATATGATTAACAAACATGTGACCAGTAGCATGTGAAGTGTAATGCATTGCAATAGTGTAGCTTTGCCGTCTATTAGTGATAATTAAAAAATATTGGCGAAGTGTTAAATTTGGTTAATTCACACATGAATGTTAGTGTACCATTTAGTTAATGATTTATTACTTGAAGTCTATTAATAGACAAAAAAGTAAGTTGTTGATAAAAGTAAAAATAAATATCATGTACAGATGTATAATATATTAATTAAAGTTTCCTAGTTTATTATATACGTTTTGATCCCGACTTCAGGATCTTCTGCAGTATTCTTTCAATATCTCTTTTTCTCTTACAACCTGAAGGAAATCTAATGTATAGTAACTCACTTTAAGAATTAAGACTAAGCCTTTGAATAATTTGTACAAGGTGAGCAGTAAATTTCATTTGAGTAAAGATTTTTTTTCCCCGTACCAATTTCTTCCATTGATAATGTCGTGAAAAATTGTGTCTAAATTTTGGCAGTAATTTTGATACAGAATTTGTTTTGAAAAAGAAATAGAATGGTATTGGTTTGCAATAATATAAAATAAAATGCCTCTTTTCTTTTTTATAATACGGTAGTAAATCTATTGTTAAAAAAGGGTAATATTTATATGATTTGATAGGTATAAAATAGTTTTAGAAAAAGAATCATTAATTGCCATTAAAAAATAATCAGTTTTGAATGATGGTTTATGAAGTGTCAGTGTAAATCTTTTCCTGAAGAGTGAGAGCAAAATTAAACTGATGAATAGCAGAAATAATTTGCCAAGATTTGCTTCAGTATGACAGTCGAATCATTTCAAGGAACTGATTGTGGTTTTTCCTGGATGTTTACTATTTGTTACCTATTCTGAAAAAATAATTATCTTAATACGAGATAAGGCGTGTTCCTGTAAGGAATGTGAATTAGGAATTGTGAATATTAACGTGAATTGGGTTGTTTGCCATAGTGGTGAAAGAAGATGCAAACAAAAATATTAATGGTTGCATCCCTTTCAAAACATGGAAAGTGCATAATACTCATCAGGTAAATTTAGTTGATTTTGGTGAGGTATTATTTCTTTCAGGAGAGTAAATTTTACTTTTATGGACAAATATAAATAATTGTGAGAATTAGAAATAAATTTGTGGTACTATTACATTGTAATTCCCTGAAAAAAATAATGAATATACATTTTATTTGAATTGTGTGTATGTGTTGGCATGATTTTTATTCCATTTTCTACTATTTGTATCATTATTTAATGGTTAAGAGGTGCTTGTACTTTAGTGATTGTTATCACTGAAGTTTAACAAATAATTGTTAAACATATTTAATTCATTTAATAGATTTTAAAGATTACAAACTACTGTTTTTCATCCCAATACTATTCATCAAACGTGAAAGCCTTTAAATATCTTTAAATTTTGCACTCATTGTTGTCATATAAAGGGATCACACATCTGGCCAAGGAAAAGTTTTCTTATTCAGAAACTTTTCTGTTTTCTTTTTCTTCTCCTTCTTCAGAAATGACATTTCCAAAAACTCTAATTCCTGCGCATAAAGCCATCACAGAGTTCTTGTCTCCTCCTTGCTGTAAGCTTCTCGATTTGTTTTAACTATGATTTCATGTTTTATTTTTTCGCAAGAGAAAATATCTAATGCATCCTTCGATACCGTACTAAGTTATTAAGGAATGTTTAGGAACAAATTGCAGAATTTTTTTTGCTTAAGTTCTTGGGACCAGGGGAGGAACTTTGGAAGCTATTTCTTCCTAGCATAAAATCATTGTGGGGTAATGAATGGAATATGAATCACAGGAGTTCTTGGAGTTGATATTACTATTAAGTCTCTGCATTCTGACAGTCACATAAAGATTTTAACCTTTACCTCAATGTTATTCAACTGAATTCTGAGTCATAATTTTTTTTTTCTTTTCTTCATGGGTTATTCTAGACTTATTAAACAAGAAAACATCCAAGATAGCAAGAACACTTCGGTGGCAAAATATATTAATGTGCATTAACATACAATGTTCTACCCAATGTGAAGGCTCGCTTGTGCTGAGGTGATTGGAAAAGTACCAATATCTTGCAGTGTAGTAGCTGTAAATAAGTGATCAGTTCCAGCCACTTTGCTTTTTGGAACAATTTAGCACTAACAAGATATTATCTGGAGTTGCTAGAAATAATGTCATCACATCCAAGGTGGCAAATAAATGATGATTTGGCTTGGAATATATTGGAGCAAAGACTTGCAGAATAATTGTGTGTTTTTTAAATGTATGGTACAGTTAGAAAATTCATTGTTGGGATACTATAGAAATTGGTTGGTAATGGTGGCATACATATACATTTTGTATTTACATAAATTAAGCATAAATGGTTAAGAAAAAGTTAAACAAATTGGAACAATTCAAACATTAGGATTTAGAAAAATTTGATCTTGGAGAACTTCAAAGTATTATAGAAGAAAGACTAACATCTTTGTGTAATAATGTAGATAGTTGTTACTTAAAAATATCTTTATATGAATCGAAAGACTCAATTATTCCCATTTTTTGCTTACATTTTGTATTAAAGTGTAATAAAAGAACATTATTAAGCAATCTCTTGTTTCACAAGTATCACTAATAAAAATGTTAAGCTTGTGTATATGTTCAGAATTTTTATTTATTTTAATTTAACCTGTAATGGCACTGGTATGTATTTCGTTACGTAACCAATATGGTGTGGTCACTTAGTCTCACATTTTGTGCTGAATTTCTAATGATAATGTTCTATGACATAATTGAATCAAATCTGAGTATATTTCAAATGTTCTAATACATTGAATTGAAATTATGTCCATGTAAACAAGTTCTTTTGCAAATATGAAATGTTTTGTTAGAAAAAAAAGTAATTGTAATGTAATGAGCAATGTTATTTTGATCTAAACCTTTCAGGTTGATTTTTGGTATTTGGTGCTTGTAAGAAAAACTAGAAAAGAAAGAATTATAATTAATTCAACTAAAAATTGACCAAAATCACAATTAATTTTATGAAAAATTTTCTCAAACATTTTTGGCACCGTCACTACATTATCGTTATTTTACAATTCGCACTGTATACATTTGTCTTTTTGTCGCATGCTCTAGAGCACTTTCCATATCTGTTTTCCACTTACTGCACCACTATTGTGATGACCTTTGGGACCTATTTTGGCTACCTCATGTTCATTTTCCAATTCATTGGCTAAGGCATTGTAAGTCTCCAAATTTGAGTGAAAATCTGATCCTCTTTGTAGCATCTTCAACCAATTTCCCATTAATTGGGATATCAAATTTTACTTGAAAACATCTCATATCTTCTAAAAAAAATTACATAAGTTACATAATCAGTATGGTTGTGTGCTACTGATGACATGTGATTATAAAGTCAAGAAAATACTTATTTTACTAACCAGGACACAACCACTGTGCACAACAGCTCAGTAGCTACTGCCTGAAAGGTGCCAAGACATGCGGTGCCTGAGTTCTGTTATTTTCTTAATAAAGAAGGGGGGGGGGGAATTGCGGGGTTCTAATGACTTTGCCATACCTGTTTCATGTTTAAGAATGGTTTTTCCATTCCAGAATGTTTGGTTTTATTTGTTGACATTTTGCATTACAACTTGGGTGTGTGTTGAAATTTCTTAAAAAAGGCTAATTATCTGAGAAACATTTCTATTTTCTTGTAATTTATTTTAATTAATATAACAATAGTAAATATTTCTGCTTAATCCAAAATTTAATCCAAAAAATTATATTTTCTGTGGTTTCAGGTGGAGTTATTTCTCCTAGAACACCAACATCGGAACCTCCAAGTCTTACAGAATCTATGCAATTAATGGATGAAATTCTTTCTGATGGAAATATGGATAGATTTGAAAAATTGGATAGATTAGAGAGTATACTATCTGCTGCAACTTGTGCTGTTATCTCATCTGCAAATAATTCTCATCAGGTAAACGCTGGGTCTTCTGTTAGCAACATTTCAAAGGATGCTGCTAATAGTTGCTGTAGATGTAATTGCCATAATAAAAATCCTTCTGTTGGCAATTCAAACATAAGCAATACAAAGACATATGACATTAGTAATGTCATGTCATTGGATGTGGCTTGTCAGACATTGTCAACTGGTGACATAGTTATTACTCGAATTTTCTTCACAGAAGAAGAAAAGGAAAGAGAAAAAACACTGACATCATCTCCAAAGCGTGAATTTTCATAGAACTGTTATTACCATAATTGACATATGTATTATATGATGAAATATGTTCGTATGTACACATGTGTTAAAAGAGGGTTTTGTATATTTTGAGAGGAGGAATCATTGTCAAAATAAGATAAGTCTTTTTACATGGTTCCTAAAATAATGACTTTCATTCTTGTGTCATAGTTAAAAAACATTACAGAAGGTTCTCAGTAATTCTAGCTTGTTGCACTTGTTTTAAGGACAGAAGAAGGCACTAAAACCCATGCAAAATATAAGAGTAACTTCCTGCTTTAGATATCCTCTTGCTTGAGCATTGTTTTAAGAGTATTTGCTGTGCTCATGAGACATCAACATCTTCCAACCCTTATTTGTGTCATGAAACATAGCTCTGTTCTGCCAGGGGCTCTAATGAAAGGAAGTAATACAAGATTTTCAGTGTGGATGTGGGGTTCTCAATAAATTTAAGTTTTCATTATACACTTGAGGGCTGTGGAAAACACTTGTACGTTTAGAGAAATTAAATCAGCAACGCTAATTCACAATGAATAAGCAGGAATATGGTTAGAGACGGCTAAAATATGTAGTGGGTTGCATTACACTGGCTGAAAATCTATTTGGGATCCTTCTGTAGTATAGTTAAGCAAAATCTCATTTCAGAAAATATGTTTTTTGTGAATTCATGTTTTGTTTTACTTTTTTTGTTTTTTTCATTTTGATAAATTCTTCCTCTTAAAGTATGCAATTTGTAACCCCTTTTTATCATTATATATAAATACAGGATGTCCAGCGAGGAAATGTCGAAACTTTCCAAATAAGCTCTTGAGACAATTTTAAGCATATTTTGTCTAATAAACCATGTGGATATTTGGAATGGTTGGGCCACAATGAACACTCAAAAGTTTATTGAAAAAAGTCTTTCCAGGCAAGAATTTGCATTGCAGAGGGATAGAAACACTCCAGAAACATGTGTATTGTTTATTTAGAAAAGAAAAATTAATACAGAAATAAAAAGTGCCCAATGTACACAATTAGGCTTTTTATTTATTTCTGGGTTAATTTTTCTTTCTAAACAAATGTATTATTTTCTTTTGTAAATAATGAACTATTTATGTTTCTGTGCTTCTGCAATGCAAATTTGTGCGTAGAAAGCATTTTTTCAAACCAACTTTTGAGTGCTTATTGCGGCTAAGCCATTTGATATATCCATGTAGTTTATTAGACAAAATATGCTTAAAATTGCTTTAAGAGCATATTTTGTAAGTTTCGACATTTCCTCTCCAGACATTGTGTGTGTGAGCATGAACCACAGTGCATACTGTGTGTTGCATAACTCGTGAGGATTTGTTATCTTTCATTTAACATTAATACCCATAGATGTGTATGTGTTTGTGTGTTTGGAAACTTTTGAATAAGCTGTTCTGAAACTTTTAAATAAATGTGGAGATCTGTTATTAGACAGTTGAAACATTAATTTTCATGAATTATGTATTTGAGAGTACATAATTGTGATGTTATAGTTTGAAAGTTCATTATAAGGAAGTACTGTTCCTTATATGTTGTAATAAACTCTTATAAAGTGAAATGTTTTCCATTAGAAGTTTAAAACAAGTTACAATATTTTTCACAATGCAGATTTTACCTTACAACATAAAATATGTGTTTTATGATGAAAGTATGTGCATAAAGGATTAGTTCTGGTACTACTCTGTGTAAAAAAGAAATAAAGCCTAATAATGTGAACTTGTAGTGAATACAAATATGTTACTCAAGTAAGGCATAATGTTATGTGGCTTCTACCTTCCACGCTAATCTATGGTTATTTTCAATAGTTATTTTACAAAGTTAATTAGTGGTCAATTACACCACAATAAGTCAGAAATGGGGACATAAATTGTAAATGAACAGTAAACAATACCGTGCAAATGTTGTTACAGTTATTCAGTAATACTGAATTGGAAAATGAAATTCAAATTCTTCTTTTTTCTAAGATTAATCTCTCCTAGTGTGTTCGTTAATATTTAATAATATGTGTATATTATTTCTTGAGACAACCATTTGTGTTGAAGTCTTCCAATATAATTATCTGATGTGCTTTTCCATAGCATGATCAGAAGCCTTATGCTTATTTATCCTTTAATGTTTCTGTGTTCTGTAATGCTTCTTGTAACTTTTTACATGTATTTGTAATGTATTGGTAGTGAATCTGATTTTCAAGTTAAGAGAGCCAGGTAAATTATAATTTCCTGCTTACATCAGTAAGCAGTCACAATATCCTTTGGACACAGGATCAGTAATTTCCTATTAAAAAAATAAAAAGTGAAAAAAAAGATAATGATGATGATGATCATAATAATAATAATAATAATAATAATAATAATAATAATAATAATAATGTAGTCATATGATAATTGATCTCATTCCATTAATTTCCACTTTGGAAAGGCTTTGTGGAACCAAAGCTCCAAATGTTGGAATCAATTAATCTCGGATGATCATGCATATTTGTTGGGTGTTGTGAAGTGGATGTGGTTCTCAGTGGTTCTGCTTATAAAAGTTCAGAACCAAATGATGAAAACATCTATAAAATATTCTAAAATTGTACACGATAGACAGAAAATAAATCATTATCATATATGATGTGTGATAAAGTATGATTCGTGCAAATAAATTGCAATTTTCAAGACTGATTTTTGAACAGAAATTGGATTTGAAGTATGTAGGACATGTATAAAATATTTTTGGAGGAGGAGAGAATTCTTTTTCGTTATGAAAATTAGGTTACAAGTCAGACTATTTTCAAATGCAAAACTTCAGTCATATCATGAACATTTAGTTAAACAGAGTACATAATTTGAATGCTGAATTGAACCTAATATGCCTAAAAAGAAAGTTACTGTATTCTCTATAGGAAATTATTTCTATTGGTAGATGAGTAAATATCCATTCTACAGGGGAAATTAATTACATATCAGTAGAATCTGTTGCTTTATTAAAAAAAAAAATTGGACTGAACAAGCTATTTATATGAACAAATTTAATTTTTGTTCCTTTATTTTATATTAACGAAAAAAAATTCTGATTTATTTAAGTGATCATTTTGCCTTAGTATGTTGATCTGTGCATTCTACAGAATTAATTGTGTAATATTGAATGATTCAACTTTTGCACGGAATATAATGCAAATTATTAATCATGATGTATTGTTCACTATCTCTCAACTTCAATGAAAATGATTAGTTATTGCTCTTTGACATGATTTTTTATTAATACACAGTAACCAAAATAAATAACCATTATTAAACACCTTTCTGCTCATAAAACGCTTTATTGGAATTTCTAAAATATCTAAAAATCTAAAGTATGGTTGATATTGATTAGACACAGTGTGAGATCATTCTTTCACTAAAAGAAAAAATTCATAACCATGTATATAGACAGTTTAGTTTTACAGGTAAGATTTTGAATGACCTGTATTTTCTAGGTCATAGTGTTCGTGTTCCAGTATTGTGATCGTTTTGCCTTAATATGTTTATTGGATGTGCGTTCTATAGAATTCACTATGAAATATTGAATTTTACAACTTTTGCACGGAATATATTTATTACGAAATGTGATATACTATGCATCATCTCTTGACTTTCATGAAAATGATTTGTTATTGCTCTTTGACATAATTTGTTTATTCACACACAAGCCTGATTATTAGGTGACATAATTTTTTATTCATTCATCACACACAAGCATGATAATTAAAGCCTGGAAGTTTGGCAAATTGCTTTTTTATAATTGTTACGATTTTAAGACTTTTAACAATAGGAATCAATTAATTGTACTTTAAGAGTTGTTTTAGTGGATTTCATTTTGCCTATTTGTGGCCTTTTCTGCTTTTTTCTTTATTATTTTCCCCTTTCCTCCTGGCTTCTGTCTCTATCAAGTTGGAAACATGCTTGCTATCCTGGACATCATGAAGGCATGGTCGTGTATTGTCTTTCTGTGGCACATAGGCTCCAGTGTCAGGTTGTGTTAAAAATCTAAAAGGGAAAGGAAGATGAAACCAGTGAAGATTTTTTTATATTTTTCATTAATGCTTATAGACTTGTTTGCTCATGAGAAATCTCATCCAATGTTTGTGAAAGGCCTCAAATCCCTTTTGAGGACAGAGCTGTGTGTACATGATTATACCCTTCTCAGTTCCTTCTTGTTCTCTCTTCCGTACTGCCAAATGCACAAGTATGAAGAACAAAATCTACAATACCATTCCCACTGCTACCTTTTCAAGATTCAAAGAGGATGTCCACAGTAGCATTTCGTAGAGACAGGATCACAAATAAAATAAATTTGTAGTCAACTGGATGGTCAAGTGTGATCAAGATTACTAAGAAGAGGTAGTTTCATTCTACATTAGTGCTAATGTAAATTTTAGAGTTAAAATAAAAACTTGAATCATTTAATTATTAATTTTCTACACTAATTACTTTTAAATTGTAATTTTTTTAATGTGTCCTGTGTTTGGCCCCTACTTTAGCTGAAATAAATGGCTTTTTTGCATGCCTATTTTAGTAAAAATAAATGCCTTTTTGCGTGCCTGTTTTAGGTAAAATAAATGCCTTAACTTCCGGGCTCTAATGATTATTTTCATAGTCTTACCCATTTTTAACTTTAGACCTGAATAGTTTTGATCATTAATTTTATTATGGTAATACATGTTCATCCCTTGCTGTGTATAGTTAGTCTTAACATGTAGCCTCTTAATATTCTTTAATTTTTTCAACCTTGTGATATGTTTCTGAGGAGCTTATTCATGAGTGACTGATCAGGTGCATATGTATGTTTGTATAAAAGAAACCTTGTTTTTTCGGTATAATGTGATCTTTTTGTAAGTTTGCGTATTTAAATAATGGCTTTGACATTGATCTTTAGAATTGATACAGATTCTTGTTAAAATATTTTTAGAGCTATTTATTTTAAATAATTATAACTGGTGATGTTGCTGTGATCCATGTTGGATCTTCAAAGGGATCAGGTAATAACATGAAACTGTAGTCTGTTCAACAATTTCTTTTATGATTGTATCATTTAGGGTCGTAGCCAGGGCAATTTTGTAATTCAATCTTTCCAATCAAGACAATCTGTTTTAATAGCAGTTACATCCTATTCCCATTATAACACTGCCAATGTTTATTGTTAGACTCTAGAATGTTATTTTTGGAGTTTCAATTTATTTCCACAATTGGTACAATTATTAAGAAATTCCCTCATTCATGTGATTGCGTCAGTGCCTTTCTCAATTTCTTGGGACTTTTTCCTCCTTTGCAGTTCTCAAGTTTTCAGTATGTGAAGTTTTTGCATTTTAATTATACTTTGCGAAATAGCTGTTCAGTGTCTTTTGGTGTCCTAAATTGTCTTTATTTCGATGGAAATCTTGTACAAGTTCTTGAATATTAAGATGTAAGTGGGCATGTAAGAGGGATTTTTGGTTGAAAAATAGTTGCGACGATTTGCTGCATTTTCCGAGACTAGTGTGGAGGATGCTTAAGCAAGTGGGAATAGGAAATATTCTTCACATTGAAAAAAAATGCTCCTGTGAATAATTGTTGTTTTAATGTAATTTTTTGGTAATCGAAAAGATATATACACTTTTTTTATGTATTTTTATTTTACATTTGTATCTGATAATAATTTCGAATAGATACATGTGAAATATATTTTATCAATTGCAGATAACTTTCGTTACAACAAATACAAGTTGCCTTCTTTTTATGATAATGTTCATATTTGGATGAATTTAAGTTGTTGTTTTTTTTATCTTTTATTATATTCTCTATACTTGTAAGATGTAGTGGATATTTATTTAAATATTTATAAAAAGATTATAAATATTTATATAAAGATTTTACCCACACTTAATTCATTGTTTTCATCATTTTTTTATTTTGAGCTTGTGCATTAGTTTTTCTTTTTTGTAGTTCCATTTTCTCTCTTTACTGTTACTTTATTGTAATAATATTTTAATTCCTGCCATATTGCCTGTGTTAATCTTTCTTCTATATTTTCATCATTTTTCCTTTAATCTTCAGTTTCTCTCTTGTATTTGAATTTCTCATAGTTTACTGCTACTAAATTTTGTTTTCAAATCGGGTGCTGTATTTGGAAATTTTAGCCTTGCATTAAGGTATGATCTGTTCCTTTAATTACATAATAGTAGTTTATAAAAAGGATGATTTTAAATTTTATTGATTTTTTTTTTGATTTTAGTATCTTGGCTACGACCTTGAATTAAAAAAAAAAAAAAATAATGCTGTACCTACGGTTAAGTAAGTAAATGGTGCCAGCAACAGTGTTGCTTATTGTCCGTTAGTTATTTGTAGCATACTACCGAGTGTGAGTTGGCAGTACTCAATAAACATATGTTTATTACCATGCAATAGTCTTGTTTATATGTGATGTATTAATTATGTACAACATTAATGCTTATTCTTTGTTTCAACATAATTGATTATATTAAAAAATCAGAGCCTCAGGATTTTATCTATCTATTTAATATAAAGTGATTAGTGGTTAATGGGAAAGCAAAGGTTTGTGATATTTAATAACTTGTCATTGTAGTATATTCTAATTATTCACATATGGCCACCAGTTGCATTAAAGTAGATTTGACTAATATGAATACAGTAATAATATGCATTGTTTTCCTTTTGTGCACACATTGCATTGACATTTTTCAATGAGGTAATTGTATGACTGCTATCAAACATTAATTTATTGTAAAACTAACAAAGATCTTTGTAATGTAAAAGTAGGTTTTGGTTTATGGATATTTCAATGGAAAGCCTCATATGTAACGTCTTCCAGGGAAAGGCAGCTTCCAATGTTTAGAGGAAATAAGAATTGATGTTTCTGCTGACATTTCTGGTTTCTCTGAAAACTGAATTTTATAAGCTCGTTATATTGAATAAGTGATAAATGCATGAATTATTGTTTGTGTCATTTCAATTACGCTGTATGTTTTATCTAGTGTTCTTTGATCTTTTTATACTTGGGTCACTGCAGCAGGTATTGTAGATATATTGCACCATTAGTCTATTTAAAACAATGTGAGGAGACTAATATGCAGTTGTTTGAACTTGTGTATGCCACAATTGCTGTATTTGGTCCACAATGCAACTTCAGTAACATTTTAGGACTGCATTATCAAAATAATAGATACCACATGTGATAAATGTCTCTAAAATTGGGAAAAGTTCCATAAGTTATTGTATGATATTTTAGATTGCTTGCAAGATTTAAAGTGTCCGTCCATAAATGTATGGTGCAGTGCAATGTCCATGTGAATGTAAATATTGTGTGCATGCATGTTTACAGGTACATGAGAGTCTATATGTAAAAACAATTGTAATTTAATTCTTCTTGCAAAAATTTTTATCTTTGACATGTAGCACTGCTACTACCACGTTTTGCTAATATTTAGACAATACTTTGGTATATAAAATTGTAAAGAGTATGAAACTGCATAATTATGATAGTAATATTTAATTTATTGTTGATAGCATGAAGTTCAACATAAATGAGAATGTCTTCCCTGCTAATATTGTTGGGAAAATTTATATCTTGTCTATGGAATCTATTAGTACTGTTTGTAAGTCATTTTTGAAGATATATTATTAACAAGAAAACCATGTTTACCTGAAACTTGTCATCTAGTGTTGGTCTTTTGACTATATTTCAGTTATTTTATCCATGTTTTAATTGTATGGTCTTCTATGAATTTTTCCTTCATTGGAGAACGTAATATAATGTAAATAATTCTATCTTCTTAATTGTATATTATCTACTCCCTCTCCTTATTTGTTCGCATAAGATTCTTTTCTGATATGATAGATTATTATTGCAATTGACCATTACATAAAGTAACTAGGTTTCCCTTTTTAATGAGAATTCTGAGTTGCAAATCAACTTATAGGGAGTCTAGCTACTGGCTTCTTGTCTCTTGAACACTTTCTTAATGGCATCTCATAATATTAAATTATAAAACTTCTGTCTACCGTACCTGCTGTATATTCAGACTGGTGGCAGGGATTGTATGTGGAAAGAAATTCCAAACGTATTGAAGCAATTCAAGAAATATCTTATGATATTTTGGGGATAGTGATGGGACATGAGGGGGTGGCCAATATACATGTGTATGGGCCTCACCAAATATATTTAATGTTACTTCTAGACTACCGTGCTCAAGTAAACCATAAAATACATAAATAATATTAATAATAAAATAAAGAATAATTATCTATTCTGTACATAGTATAGTTGATCTGAGAAGAAATAATTTGAAAATGAGGTTTGTGTGGAACACTAGAAAAACACTAGAAGACACTATTTAACGGCATTGTACATATAGTAGGAAGCATACAGCAGTATTGAGAGCAAATATTATTTGTTTTTGTTCTACAATTTACATTAAAGGATGCAGTGCATTACTGCTTTGTAGGAGAATGTCTTTTTAAAACAAGATTTTTCCTAAAATGTTTTTCTAATTGTAATATGGAGGGTTGACTGCCTTCTACAATGAAGGAAGTTCTTATGAAGTAATTATTAACAATGATATTATTTTATTGTTATATTGTTAGAATAAACTTCACAATGCTAATTATTGTTGATGTTGTTTCTTGAGAGATCCTCCATTCCTGAAGCAATGTTCTCAAATTTCTTCTAGATGCAGTTCTTGATCCTGAAGAATATATGAATGAATTGTTTCAAGTTAGCTTCAAAGCCGAGTAGAATTGCAGTATTACGGAGTAGAATGTATTCTGTTGTAGTATCTGAGACAGAAAAACATTTTTGTTTTTTGTTTTGTATGTAGATTCTGGTTATAGAGAGTTACCACATTTCCCTGTTTTATGGTATTTGAGATATCTCAGATTGTGGGCCATCATTCACATTCTATTGAACAATATTTACTGATTTGGGACTCAAACAAGGAAAGGGGGAGAACAGTCGAGGAAAAGAGCTTCTGGATCTATTCAACAGAGTACTGAAAGAAGAAAGAATACCATAGAGAAGAAAAATAGAACTAATGGGAGGAAATGATCGAAACATTTTCAAGAATGATTCGAGGAAAGACTGCAACAACTAGAAGGGCATTTCAATAATCTTAACAGCCCCAACACTTTAAGCAAACATAATAAACAACTAAATGGTTTATTAGAAGTGAAAAATCTAGAGAAGAGTATTTGAAATTCCAAAAAAGGAAGGGGCACCAAGGATACAATATTTATATTACAAAATGTAATGGGTAAAAGGGAAGAGCCAACTACCCCAAGTTGCATGTATAGAAAAGTTAAGATGAAATACTAAGGTATACACAGACACAGAATGTACTTTAAATCAAAAGAAAGGATTTAAGTTATAGCATTCTGAAAGGGAAATGCCTACGGCAAGTTAATTTCTCCAGACAGGGTAATCTAATCATTGCAGAAAAACAAAGGATATTGTAACCATACCACAGGCAGAGCCCACAATACAGATTTTTTTAAATAAAATTGTTAATAATTTAAATGGAGGTATGTAAATATCTGTTGTATATACAAGTAAACCACTTTGTAATATACGAAGGTCGTTTGACAAGTCTGGTAAATTTCTACGAAAGATCGCGCATTGTTAGAAAGCACGATTCTTTGTATGCAGCTTTTTGAATTTCCAAACAAATGCGAGGTAGTAGAGTAGTTAATTTTTGTCAACCAGCTGACTGCGTGAGTGTGACGTGCGGCGTAGAAGATGGAGAAAAACGAGTTACGTGCTGTGGTTAAAAATATTTATTTGAAGGACTGGGCAGCATCGCAGATCAAAAATGAATTAGATGAAGTACATGTGAACTCTGCACCAGCATTGAAAACATTTACTTCTGAATTAATGAGTTCAAACGTCACAGATGAAGAAGTGCGCTCTGGCCGGCCTGTTGGTGTCACCCCACCGAAAACCGTGGAAAAAGTGCACGGTCTGGTAATGGAAGATCGCAGAGTGAATGTGCGTGAGATTGCTGATGCTGTTGGCATCTCAATTAAAAGAGTGCACTTCCTCTTGCATGAAAGAGATGGGTGCTGCGATTGCTTCCTTTGGATCAAAAACCTACTCGAAAGAACATTTCAAAGCAAAATCTGACAATGTTGAGGCGAAATCAACAGCACTTCTGGCGCAGATTCGTCATCGTGAATGAAACTTGGATCCATCACTATACTCCCGAAACCAAAAAAAGATTCAAAACAGTGGATGAAGACTGGTGAGAGTGCTACGATCAGTTTCTACATTAATTACATTTGCCATTTCATCTAACCAGCAGTTAACTCAGTAACCCTTATTTCAATCTCCGGTTTACTTAACTTTCCGGTAAACCCTCGGTTTGTCTTTAACCGACGCTCGTAAACGAATTTCGCCCGCTAACGTCCGGTTAACTCTAACTGGAACTTTAACTGACGGTGGTAATACAGGGCCTAAATCTTTGTCAAGAGTGCCTCTCTGTGACACCCACACACGCGGCTCCCCTTCGCTCCCCCTCCACTGACCTCCAAAACAAATGACACCCCACAGCCGTTCCAGGAATGCGGGCAGCCAGCGAAATCTCAAGTCGGGGGCGGCCCCTCCCGCGAACACCTTCAAACCAAAATTCACATATAATAAACAAAAACTCTTTATTTACACAGAATACTTGAACTACTGAAAATTGAAATACACGTAAAATATAAGAGCAGTTAGATTACATTGAATACACACATCCACCACTTGCAACAAAAAGCTTGCATTTACTTTGTCACACACAGAATTTATTTCAATTTACATTGGAGACATAGTCTTACTTCCGCAATACGTGTTTGCACAAGCATGTACATCACTAACCAGCTGATTTCTGATACATTGACGCAATATGGCATTCCGGCCCTCGCGACACGCTGCCGCCGGCGAGTGATCCAGTTGTCACTTGCCGACGCCAGCGTTCCGGGACTATAAAATGGCGAGGGATTCATACCTCGCCCCTCTCTTCACGTATTGCAACCTGCCGGAGCCAGCCGTCGTCTCGCCACTCACTCCCAGGACCAAGGATCCACTACGCGGGCAAGTAGATTAAACATCTTTTAAGAATACTCTCTTTACTTCTCCCTGGACGAGTTGCTAGAGGTACTCCCTCTCCCCCTCAACTCGCAACAATGGTGTCAGGTGGGGGTTTTACGAACCCCAAATGATTATTCTACATTGATTTAAGATCGGATAATCTGATTTTGAATAATCATTTGGGGGATAATCATATCGTGACAACATTATGCTGAGCGCATCAGCATTTATATTGTCCTTTCCCTTCCGATGTCTTATTTTAAAATCGCACTGTTAAAGGCAATATCCATCTCATGATTCACGAATTAATATGTGATTTGGAATGCAGATAGCTGAGGGGATTATTATCAGTAATAATGATGAATGGTTTGCTATTGTCTAAATAGTAACGTAACTTTTTGATTCCCCAGAATAGGGCATAACATTCTTTTTCATTCACAGAAAAATTGAATTCCGCTCCTCTAAATTTCTTACCGAGATAGATAACTGGATCTTCCTCATTAGAACTGTTTAGCTAGTTTAACACAACACCGACACCTGAGTCCGAAGC